ACCTATAGGGAATAAGAACCCAAACAGAAAAGCTTAGAAGTGGGGTGCCTGGATAGCTCTGTCAGTTAATTGTCTGTTTGGCTCAGGTCATGATCTCAGGGTCCTGTGATCAAGCCACATGTCTGGGCTCCCTGCTCAGTGGGAAGTCTGCTTCTCCCTCTCCCTTTGCCCCTTCCCCTCTGCTCATGCTCTGTCTCTCGTTTCTCCTAAATAAATAAATAAAATCTTTATTTTTTTATTTTTTTTAAAGATTTTATTTATTTATTTATGATAGTCACACACAGAGAGAGAGAGAGGCAGAGACACAGGCAGAGGGAGAAGCAGGCTCCATGCACTGGGAGCCCGACGTGGGATTCGATCCCGGGTCTCCAGGATCGCGCCCTGGGCCAAAGGCAGGCGCCAAACCGCGGCGCCACCCAGGGATCCCTAAATAAAATCTTTAAAAGAAAGAAAGAAAAGCTTAGAAGCAACTCTTATGGTCCTTTCATAATGAAGTATTTGATGAATTATGAAAGTCCAACAAAGATGTTTTTGTAAAGCCGTTGGAGCCATGTAATTTAGAAATCTTATCTTATACAGCTGAGTAAGCAAACACTAAGTTCTTATGTTATAGAAAGAGATGCAAAGTATGTGAAAAATGTTTGGATTTGTTCTTATTTTAAATATGCTTCACACACTTATTTAATTGCATTGAGTGTTGAAGCATTTTGGAATTCTGAAGTAGTAGGAGGTAAGAGAGTCACAAGGTCAGGGACACAAGGTTTAATGAAATGTTAAATACTGCATTCATGTCACTTTCTGAAACATTTTACCCTCATAAATGGTATTTTCTGACTATTGGTATGCTTTCTATTCCCTTCACTTGAAGTGATATCAGGACTTCATTAACTCCTGATTTTTTAAAAGCACACCTTTAAGGCTTAATGTAGTTCATTTTTTTACCTCCTTGCCTTTGGGGACTCAGAAATATAGATGATTTCATTACAAATATGGAATATGCCATAAAATTCCTATAAACCCTCAGCAACTTAATGTCTTCTTTGAAAAAAATCAGTGTCTTGAGAAAACAGATCTTACAAATTTAATTTTTAAAAAAGAGATTCTTATTTAATAAAGTTTACTAAAATATTTAACAAGATATTTGGGAAGTGTATTTATGTTTATGAAAGAGCTTTGTGAGCCACATAGTACTATAACAATGCAGGTACTTATTGTCAAATGTATGCCCAGAGGAAGAAGAATAAACATTTATTGAACTCATAAGGGGGGAAGACTTTTGATCCATGTCCCAAAGCTTTACCACTGCCTTCCTGCAGAACTTTAAATAACATCTTCATTTTACAATGAAAGCAAAAATCGTGGAATGTTGTGCCCAAGGTCACATGGCTACTAAGTGTCAATGTCAGGATTCAGATCTGCTGAACACAAGACTGCCCTGTCCTGCCCGCCACACTGCCCTCTGCAGGCTTCGAGAGGAGTTATAGGTAGGGAGGAAAATAAGACAATGAGGGGCACCTGGGTGGCCCAATCTGTTAAGCATCTGCCTTTGGCTCAGGTCATGATCCCAGACTCCTGGGATCAAGACCCACATCGGGATCCTTGCTCAGTAGGGAGCTTCCTCCTCCCTCTCCCTCTACCTGCTGCTCCCCCTGTCTGTGCTGTCTCTCTGTGTCAAATAAATAAATAAAAACTCAAAAAAAAAAAAAAAAAAGAGAAAATCTGAGAGCCATACTATACCAGATCTACCAGCTGTTCAGAGAAGAAAACCATTCCATTCAGTGGATTTATCATTTAATGCCTCACTTCTAGGAGTGTCTGGCTGGCTTAATCAGTCAGTGGAGCATGAGACTCTTGATCTCAGGGTCATGAGTTTGAGCCCTATGTTGGAAGTAGAGTTTACTTAGTAAAAACAAAATAATAATAATAATAATAATAGTGCCTTACTTCTATTCAGAGTTAGCATGCTCCCTTCTAAATACATTAATTCCCAGATGGCAGGTACTGGGCATTCAAAGGGAAATCAAACAAGACCCCTATCCTCAGGTATCCCCATGTCCAGTGAGACAGATGATGCATAAATAAGGAATTTTGATAGAGTGGATAAGTATTTCTTTAGGGAGAGCATGGGATATAGTGATGGCACATACATGGGTATAGGACAGGTGCCTCACTTGGTGCCCAGTACACCTGGGCACCTTACAGTGAGTTAAAGCACCTGCACTGAAGTGAGCAGGCCACACCTGCCTTGCTGAGGTAGCAACACTCTTGAGAGTTCTGAGCAACTAAGTCTGAGACAGGAATAGGTCGTAGTCTTTCGATCACAATTGCATATACTGAGGTGATCCTTTAAGTTTTGGTTACAGACATTGGGGATTATTTCTTGCTTGTTTGTTTTTAAACTAGGCTCCATGCCCAGCATGGAGCCCAACACAGGGCTTGAACCCATAACCCTGAGATTAAGACCTGAGCTGAGATCAAGAGTCAGATGCTTAACCAACTGAGCCACCCAGGTGCCCCTAGACATTGTATTTATAGTATTTCCATGTTTTGTTGTTTATTTCATTCATATTTTAAATATTCTTTCAATCCTTATTTCTCACCAGTTTGTCTAAACTAATTATATGTTCTGGGTCACGCTATTACTTAAAAGAATTCTTCATTCTTTGATCGCATTTCTGATTGTCCCTGGCCCATAAGGAAGACATAGCAAAAAAAAAAAAAAGTATGAGTTTCAAAATGAAATACTTGTGGATTCAAATCCCAGCTTTTTTCAAAGTGAAATAGTTGTGGATTCAAATCCCACCCCAAATGGGTGGCTGGGGGAGTTTCTCCTCTTGGATCCTCAAATCCATCATCGAGAATTTCTGGGTCTATTATCTTGCTTAGTCTTCACCAGAAACCATCCTTTATAGGAATATGTGAAAGATTAAACAAAATACCAGACCAAAGCCTGTACTGGGCTGTATATAAATGGATGTTTCAATTAAGACGTAGGCAAAAAATAAAAAATTTGAAAAAGAAAAGGAACTATATCATTTTCTCAGGCTAAAACTTCATGCTAGTGAGTCCATAATGTAACAGGTCAACCAAGGTCTTCGTTGCAGGACAAAATAATCTGCTCAAGGTTCTTTAAGTTCTGTAAAGTTACAACCCACAGGCTCTGATGGAGTTTGGGGCAAGCAATAAGTGGCACTCCTTTTTCCATTAGAGCTCTAACCAATAAAAATAAAGAGAAATTTAAAAATTATAGAAAGGGATGGGTATTCCCTACAAATTAACAGAGGCTTGAGTAAACTTATCAGTCAGTCTCACTGTACAGAATATATTTTGATACTGATTCAAACAAGGTTTTATAGTAATTTTTTGGACCCTGAAGGAAATTTGAAACTTACTGATATTTGACATTATGAAGGCATTACTCTGATAATAATATTATAACTGTGCTTTCTTATATCCTTATCTTTTAGAAATGCATATTGAAATATTTACAGATGAAGTGATGTCTGGGTTCCAAATACTGGTGGAGAGGGGAAAGCCTGAGAATAGAAAGGAAATCTGATTGGCCATAAGCTAATGGTATTTGAAGCCAGGTGAGGGGTTCATACTATATCATTCTTCTAGGATTATATATTTGACATTTTCCATAAAAGATAGTTTTTAATAGAGAAAAATATTACCTATTTACTGAGAAAGATGAAGAATTTGATTTATTCATGGGCTTCCCACTGAGCCCTGAATTAGGTAGACTTGGCCCCTCAGCACAGGCAGGCCCTGACAATCACAGGTCTTTCGGTGCACACAGCCTGTTAGAATAGCTCACAGTGATACTGTCTAGGGTCCTGAGTTCAGTTGTTATGTCTTTGTCTTTGCCACAGTAGCCCCACCAAGTTCAGTCAGCCATCTGTCAAATGCAAGCTGGTGGATACCAGGGAGATGATGAGACTAGAATGGCAGCCTAGCACAAAATCATCCTCATCCTTGGAAAAGAATTCATATAATATACCCTGTAAGGGAGAATAGGGGGTGAGGAGGATCTGTAGGGTCATCTTTGTGCACTTCAGTTGTAAGTGGAAAGTATTAATCAGTGGGGGGGCTCTATTGCACAAGAAGAAAAATATGAAGATTTAATTAGTAAAAATGAAAGGAGCATTTTAGAGAAATGTGTACCAGCCAGAGACCTCTTGGAGGGAAAGAATAAAACACAGGAAAGAAGCCAGCAGAACTGTGGAATATTTTATTATCTTCTTGCCACAAAAGTGAAACGATCCAAGGATGCAAGAGAAATTTGATCCAATGAAGCAAAGAGTCCTATTGAAGCTGCATTGTATATTCATAATCTGTGGTTGCCTTGGCAATGGATTCTTCATTTCATAGTGACAGCATTATAATGAGACATGCCACAGTAATTAGAGCTACAGTTAGCCTAGTTGGCTCCTTCTTAGGAGAAGGTCCGTGAAGGAACTTGTAGGGTTTCAGCAGCTGACAAATTAAATGAGCTCTTGAAGGAAAGAATTTGAAAGATTTACTAAATAGTAGATTTGAACCTGATACTCTAGAGTACTTCTAGGTATAATACTTTTCCTCTTGACTTTGCAGTTGATGTAAATAATAAATCGTCTAGTGGCATGCCCATTTTATCTCACCCATTCCACCTGATGGCATTTCTTTCTGAAATAGCATGAACCAGGAAAAAAGAGGAAGCCCATTCTCCAGATAACCTGTGTATTGATTTGAAATGGAAAAACTGGTGGGGTAGCCTGCTACTTTGCTTAATCTCTCTATCCCAGGAGAGTAGACAAGAAGACAGGATGTCAACAGCTTGGCCACAAATTGGGTGTAATTTAGTCTCCATGAGAACCATAATAACACAACTCAACTTTTCCACTCTGAAATGGATGCTCTGAGCTAGACAGTGATCAACATAGATAAATGGATTAAATATCCAGGAGTGAGCACACTCTTGCTATTTTTATTTGACTGTTTTTCTTCCTCAATTTCAGGTATATGAAACAGTTGGACACAGTGGTACCACTTTGCTAGCAGAAGTGTTTCTGCCTATTCCTGAAACTACCATTGTCACTGGAAGGGCTCCTATTGAAGAAGTGGAATTTAGCAGTAACCAGCATGTAACACTGGACCACGAAGGAGTTGGAAGTGGTACAGAAAGCTAATTATTATTAGTGGCTCACAATTTTACTGTCAGTTTTGAACATAGCTTTTTTTTTTTCATTTTCAAACAACCAGGTAATTCTAAAATTGCTTTCAGAAATTCAAATTAAAATGATTTATATAATTTTTTGCAAAGTCATTTTTATATATTGTTCATGGCCAGTAAATTCATATAACTAGGCAAGTATAAAGCAGTTTGCGAATTTGAATAAAGACCTTTAAAATTCCTTGACACCTTAATATTTCTTCTAAGAATCTTTTCTAAGAAAATAATTTGAAATGAGTACAAAGCTTTGTGCATAAAAAATGTACATCATGATATGATTCATAGGGCTGAAAATTGTGAAAAATCTTAATTATAATAGGGAGGTTATTAATTAATATTCTCTCTCTTATCCCCTATAATTGTGATTAGATATATGATGGCCCTTCTTTGTCCACCATGTTTCTTAATCTCTGTAATATACTTGCTATCTTTTTCTTTCACTACTGTATTCTATAAAACTTTGTTAAATCTGTCTTCCAAGTCATGAATTCAGTCTTTGATTGCGTCTAATCGTCAAAATTCATCATTGAGGCTTTGCTTTAATTATTGTATTTTTCACCTCTAGGAATTCTATTTATTTCATTTTCAATCTGCTTGGTCAGTTCTGACAACATTTGTCCTTTCTTCCAACTCTCGATCATTTCTTTTATCCATTCATACTTCATTTATTGTTAAAAAGGCATTACACATATTTTTAATGTTCTGTACTTGATTATATAATATATATCTGTTTATTGGTCCGGTTCTGTTCCCTCTTATTCATAGTGGCTTGTTTCTACATGTGTCTAGTGATTTTTTTATTGTGAGCTGTATCTGGAAATGTATCTGCAAGAATTCTTTAAGGTTCAAATCCATTCACCAACTGAAAGGTCTGGAGACCTAGGCTTCAGTTTTGACTTTCACATTGATAAGCTGTAGGTTTCTAGTAATTATATAATCTACAGGACTCTAATAATTATGTAATCTATTGAATATCATCTGAATCTAAAGATTCCTTTAATTCCTTTAGTGTCTTTTAGGGTGATTTTGAAGATTAAAGCATACGTTCAATTTGAAAGAAAGATGTTTGAAAAATAAAAAGACGTTATAACAGCCTAATAGTGGCACTGTTTTGTGCTATGGATATGAACTGGAACTCCAGGGCATGCAGTGGCTATATTTAGTGCTTGAAATCTTTTCTTCCTTTAGTTGATTAAACAAACAGTCCTGAGACTTTTATCATTAATTTCCAACCAGTAGAGGCCAAATAAGTAAGTGAGACTTACTGTTGTCACACTAGTTTAATAAGAGTAGCTAAGGCTTGTCAAGTAGCCACTGTCTTCCAGGCACTAAGTGCTCTGCAAGTATGACCTCACTTAGGCGTGCTTCCACCCTCAGGCACTTGGACTTGTTCCTTCTGCCAAAAATGCTTTCTCCCCACATATCTGCATGTCTCACTTCCTCATTTTCTTCAGGTCTTTATCCATGAGTCCCTTCTCATGGAGGCTCCTCTGCCACCATATCCCCCCAAAGCACACATATTCCATCTACATTCCCTAATTTATGGTTTCTCTTTCACATTTATCACTCTCTAACGGACCACACATTCCTCTTATTTCTCTTCCTTATTTCCTGTCTCCTTGGCTGGAACTTAAACTTGAGAACAGGGATTCTCATCAGTTTTGCTCCTTTACTGGTATCTGCAGTCTAGAATAGTGCCTGGTAGGAAGGAGGAGCTCCAACATGCATCTGTTGAATGAGTGAATCCATGAATGTCTTCATAGTAATCTTTTTGAGGAGGTACTATTATTACCCCTACTTTACACATAAAGAAATGAAGGCTTGGAGAAGTTAATCAATCTGTTTATGGTCACACAGCTGTTAACTGGCAGAACCAGAATATGCACACAGATGGTCCCACTGCAAAGTGTCTCATTCATTATATGGTCTACACTCTGCTGTCAGAGACAGAACTAAGAGGCCAATTCTGAGCATCATTGCCTGAAGAAGTTCAGTGATGCTAACCTGAATTATGTGTTCCATCCTGCTAGCCCTTTCCACTCTATTCCATTTGTCTACTGTCTGCCTTCTTACCAGAACTGGGCTTACTCCCTTTTTCTAAACAACATCTGTGTAATCTGGTGTTTCTCTAGGAGTGCCCTTCTCATTTGAAGCTGACGGTAGTAATCAATTGATTCTAATGACATCGGGGAAAGTCTCCAACAGTGTGGCATGGGCCATTGGAGAAAATGGGATACCTTTAATTCCTCCACTGTCACAGCAGAACATCGGATTTAGAAGGTAATGTGTGTCTATAACAATCCGATAAGTAAATGAGTAATGTCAGCATTTGTATTAATGATATGGGAGGAAGAAGCTTACAATATCACATTCCTTCCTTTTATTCTCGTGTGCCAGTATTTCCAGGGTTTTTTAAATTTTCTTGAGGTAAGAATTAAAAATACGAATAGCCTAATAAGTATTAGATGTTTAGCAGTGTCAGAAATAGCAAAAAGCATTTTTGCCTTATTTCATCTCTCCAGTAACTCTGTGAAGGATTCCTGTCCCCACTTTATAGCCAGGGGAAGCGCACAGCACATGGTTGTGTATATGTGGTCCTCCACGTGAATGATGACAGTGGTAGAGCCTTCTGGTTATTATAGGTCCCTTCTATCAGATTTGTTCTTTGATTGCTAGCCCCTTTGGTTCCTTTCCAGACCAGAAGAAATGCTCTCTGGGTCTCAGCAGGTCCCCCCAGGCAGGTCCCACCTCCTTGTGGTTGGTGCGTGTCCCAGCAGCCCGCACTATGGGAGCCAGGTGCCAGGGCTCAAGTCTTGCTTTGGTCCTGCCCCAACAGATGTGTCCTGAGTTGATCTCATGTCTTTTTGATGAGGGCCATCCTAGCAGGTGTCAAGTGATACATCACTGTGGTTTTGATTTGCCTTTCCCTGATGGCGAGTGATGTGGAGCACATTTTCACATACCTGCTGGCCATATGTATGTCTTCTTTGGAGAAACGTCTACTGTGGTCCTCTGCCCATTTTTTAATTAGATTATTTGTTTTTTTGCTATTGAGTTGTGAGTTCCTTGTGTATTTTAAACATCAACTCTTTATCAGACATGTGGTTTGCAAGTATTTTCTTCCCCAATTCACTCTTCTCTATTATCTCTATGACATACTTAGTAGCAGTCATCAAGTAAAGGAAACTGGCAAAATTCCTTCCTTATGATCAGATTTTCTCCCATAGACAAGAAGAGCCTCTTTAAGCAATGCTGTCCCTGGGATTTTGGGGCCTGAGTCAAATTGCCCTGTGAAAGTATCCATCTCATGGCATTAACTTTTCTTCCAGTGCTTTGAAGAGGGCAGATGCCATCTCATCTATTGGCACGTCAGGACTGACAGACTTGAAAAAATTGGCCAAATGGGCAGCAGAGTCCAAGCTCGACCCAAACGACCCCAACAATGCCCCCTTGATGCAGCTAATCTCGGTAATGTGGCAGGAGAACCATGTACACACTCCCATTTCTTGACTTGGTGCGATAATAATAGAAATGGCTCAGACCTTTACACACATTTTCTTTCACACAGTGTTCTCCAGTGTGATAGCGTTTTAGAACATGAGTGGGCTGTTGAATGACAGGTTGACGGTCCAGTTCTGCATCAGCCTGGCTGTGCAATCAAAGCAAGCACCTGTGCTTTTAGGTGCTGTGACACCCTCACAGTGTGGCCATGAGCACATGCTCTGCTGCATTTCAACACTCAGCTGGGCACACAATCAGTATGCAATAAATAATAGTTGTTGTTGCAGTGTTGTTGTTATTCTTACCTCCAACTTCTATAAAACCATAAAGAAAGGTCTTACTTGGCCCCTCTGATGGAGAGGAGCCTGAGTGTGGACCCTCAGAGTCCCTTGCTCAAGCTCACAGTACTGGTAAGAACTCAGGTCCAGATCAATCTGATTTCAGAACACATGCTTAGTCTATCACATTTGGAAGAGCTGGTGGGGTGTTTTAAGAAATGGTGGTTTTGTTTGCTTGTTTTCCTGTTTGATGATTAATTAGATTATCATTTAGGTTTCATTTAAGTATGTTGAGATAAATTGCTTGTGTCTATCATAACATTCAAAATTCTCTCTTCAGTGAATTCATAAATAAAATGGAACTTTAGTCAATAAATGATTGTTCTTGGTGTTAAATACAATTGTTCTTACTCCTAAGTTCATAATTCCCATAAAAACATAATAAACAAGTAGATGATCTGGAAAGTGACCATAGCAACATATTTTGTGATTATGCTTACTAGTGTGAGTTCATCAGCAGGGTAACTATAACCAGGATTACATTTTCATTTCTGTCTTTGACTTTCTAAGATAAGTCTCAAAGTAAGTTCTGGCTTATTTTTACCTTAATCTTTCTAAGCTCTCCTTCTAACATGATGCTTCTTAATGTCACTGAAAGAAATATTAGAAAGAATGGGCCATATTACCTAGAGCATAGTCTATTCCATGTAGAGTTTTCAAATCATGCTTCAATTACTATATTTAAATCAGTGGTAAGAAAGTACAAATGTCACCTCCATTTTTTCCTTTTTAACTATTTGTCTTCCCATAGAAGGACAGAACACAGGGCTGGCCTTCCTGACTAGTCTCTTTTTCTGGATTTTCACAGCAGGATCACCTTTCCTATTGCACAGCCCCAACAAATCTCTGCTCCCTGTTTTTCTTCTTGTGAGGAGGAAGTTGCCACTGGCAAAACACCCAGACAAAGTGCAAGCAGACTGTGGGCAGGGTGCAGCCCCACCTGCTCAGCCTCTCAGTGGTACCCTGAAACCATCATTTCTGTGCCAGTGTAGGGGGGTGAGCACCCACATCCATCTCTGGCTCTCTCTATTCAGTGAACCAAGGCCATGAGGTGCTGTTCAAAGACAGAAGAGCATGACCCTGGAGCCAGAGAAGCCAATCAGCTGATTCTGGTCCCTTATCTACATGTGTACATAGTTTTTTTTTTTTTAATATTTTAAAATATTTTGTTACATATAGTTTTAAAGTTATATTAAGTTATACTTAAATATTTTAAGGTAAGATATATCTTAAATATATTTTGAATACATATATTAGATCTTACATACACTGTGTATATAAGCAATCCTATTTCCAGTTGGCACCTAGTACTGATACTGATAGAAATCTCTCACTTTTCAGCCTGTATATTTGCATAATATGAGGGAAGCATGCATACCAAAAGATGAACTTTACAATTTTTTTTTTGAAAAATGATTTAGGGTACTTTTTAGAGCTAGGACAGTAATATAATAGCATCTACCTTATAACTGTGATATTTTAATTTATTTTTGTCCTTAAACGAATGCAGGATGTTTCAAGTCTCAGTCCCAACTTTCGTTGCCAAAAGCTCACTGTTAGGTTCCTTCAGATGCAGTCTGCCCATGGCCACCTAAAGTTGTGCCCCTTCTGTTTTCTATAGGTTGCTACCAGCGGTGAATCCTATGTCCCTGATTTCTTTCGACTGGAACAGCTGCAACAAGAATTTAACTTTGTCTCAGATGAGGAATTAAATAGATCCAAACGATTCAGGCTTCTTTGTCTTAGAAGCCAAGAGGTGCCAGAATTCCGAAATTATAAACAAATTCCAGCATATGACCGAGAAATTATGGAAAAAGTATTCCAGGTAAGAAATTGCCATGGAGGAATTAATAAGATAATTAACCAGCTCGGTGCCGTTCGGTATACTATTACCTGTGTATTTTCTTGCTGTCGTGTTCTCAGTAGTGATACTGGTTTCTCATTTATAGTATTTACCATAACCTTTCCATTCTTTTTCTTTTCTTTTTTTTTTTAAGATTTTATTTATTTATTCATCAGAGACACAGAGAGAGAGAGAGAGGCACAGGCACAGGCAGAGGGAGAAGCAGGCTCCATGCAGGGAGCCCGATGTGGGACTTGATCCTGGGTCTCCAGGATCAGGCCCTGGGCTGAAGGCGGCACTAAACCGCCGAGCCTCCTGGGCTGCCCCTCCATTCTTTTTCTTAAACCTAATGTCTAAGTAATCTCTTTGCCCAATATAATGACATATCAACTAAGAAAAATTAGAACTGTAGGGTTGAAAAGTATCTTATGTGTTACTATGGGAAATGATCCTGCCACATTGCTCCTGTCAATTCAATGCCATTTTAACACATTAAGTTATTTACTGAGCATAATGCTTGGTAAGAGCTGGGGGAGAGCTGCTAGGGTCTCAGCCACCTCAGGTGGGCAGGGTGCACAGGTGAGGGGGTGCCCACAGGTGGGGAGACTTTGAGGAGCTACAGATAATGGGGTGAAGGGGCGGGCCAATGAAAACCAGAAAGGCAAGTTAGTATTGATGAGGTAAGTGGAGAGCCATTAGAAATTGATACCACTGTGATTTTTTTTTTTATGTAAAAAATGTGGAAACTATTGAAGAAAATCTTTGGCTACTTGGTTCTTTTTGTATTAGTTTGGATTCATGATAGTAAGAGATAAGAAGCCAACTTGAGCTACCTTGGGCAGCAAGGGGAGTTTATTGGATGATGAAATGACAAAATAGGGTTAAATATCTAAAGATGCATGAATGGCAGGAATTCATCTGTGCTTCAGTGAGGGCCGGGCCGGATATAGAACCTGAATGCTGCCAGGACTTTTCTCTGTCCTGTCAGGGCTTCTTATTGGTCCCCATTGGAGACAGATTCTCTACTTGGCTGCATAGTCACCAACATTATCCAAGTTCACATCTAGTTACTTCAGCCAGCAGAGAGAGATGTGTCTTCTTGTCCCGAGCTTAAAATTCTTGGGAACAGCTAGGGGCACCTGGGTGGCTCAGTCAGTTGAGCATCAGCCTCTTGATTTCAGCTCAGGTCATGAATGCATCCCCCCATTGGGCTCTTCTGAGCAGGGGGTTCTGCTTGAGAATTCCCTCCCTCTGTCTCTCCCCCCACACACACATGCTTGAGGGTGCTCTCTCTCTCTTTCAAATAAATAAATATTTTTTAAAAAATCTTGGGAACAGCTGGCTTGTATTGCCCAGGCTAGGTTAGGAGCCACCCTGGGCATTCAGCTGTGACTAGAGAAGGACTGAAGCAGAACATGGCAGCTTCCTGGGCCCATGAGGGATTTTATGATAGACAGAGCAAAGTCAGCAGCCTAAGAAGACAACACTAACACTCATACTCTCCTCCAAGTGGGTGACCCAAATCAGCTGCAGCCAGATGCTATTTACTATTTTTGCAATTGCTCTACTTAAAATAGAAAAGACAAAAATGTAAGCCGAGGTTTGGGCTAAGTTGCTTGGGTGAGGTAGCAGGTCTCTCTGTTACCTTGATGGACTCTGTTTCTTCCTACATGAACAGCTTATGCTATAATTACTCTACAGAATTATCTTCTACTTATAAGGCAGTTCAACCAACTGGTACCAAAACCTACATACTGCATCAAAGATCAATTTTGAGCCAAAAATGAAGAGGAAGGTGGAAGAAGCATTTAGAACCATAACTTATTACTTAAATCACATGTGATAAATTCATCTCAGGATAAATTCTTTAATCTCACATGGGAGAATAATAATAATTTACAATCATAAAATTAATCCTTTTTAATTTTAGGACTATGAAAAACGTTTACAAGACAGAAATGTAATTGAAACCAAGGATCACATAGATACTCATAGGGCCATAGTAGCCAAGTACCTCCAACAGGTAAGGAAAATCACTTTACAGAATCCTCATAGGGGGAAAATAGCCAGCACCCTAACATCGGGGAAAGGTGGTGTCTATCTTTCTAAGTTATCTGTGGGTTATTTAAAAGTTACTTAACCTCTGTAGACTTATTTGCTCATAATTACAGATACGGAATTAACAGCCATCTTCATCTTTTGAACATATGAAATACTAGGATGTGTCTCAGTTCATTATCAGTGGTTATCTTAAGTGGGGCATGATTGCAAGGGACACAATTTCTAAGTCATGATTTTTCTCAAATTTGTATGTTTGCATCATATCACCTTTGTAATGAAAAAATTTTATAAATCACATACTAACTACCCTAATGCACTAAAAACTTGAAGTATCCATTTGCCCTTTCTTCTTTTAATAAATGTAACTTGTAGGAAATGCTGTAGTTACTATAGTACATTTTTTTTCACCCAAATGATCTACTCTGGGTTCCTTATTAAAAAAAAAAAAAAACGATTTATGACATTTAAGAGGTCCTCTATTTGATGAATAATTAGAAAGTAATTCAGTCTGAATAGAGGAAGAAGTTAAGAATCTGAAATGTGTGTGCTTCAAGACTGGTCTTATATTTTTCCAATTGTTCATTAATTCAGCAGAATTTTACTTATCATCCACTAGAAACTTTCCCAGGTCCCTTGAATAAAGCAGTGAATGGAACAGAACCCCCTCTGCCTTAGGGAGCTTACTTACATTAGTGAGCAAAGTGGGATGATTTGTATAAGAAGAGGTCAGTACTGGGGAGAAAAGTGCAGTTGTGCTGGGGGGCTGAACTGAGGTGACATGAGGTGAAGTCTTGAAGGAGTCTAGGCAATGAGCCCTAAAGTCTATGGACCAGGAACATTTTAAATAAAACCACCTGCCTGAGTTGAATGGATAAAGAAGATGTGGTGTATATAGACAATGGAATACCACTCAGCATCAAAAAAACCAACATCTTGCATTTGCAACAATGTGGATGGCCCTAGAGGGTAGTATGCTAAGTGAAGTAAGTCAATCAAAGAAAGGCAATTATCATATGATTTCACTCATATGTGGAATTTAAGAAACAAAACAGAAGATCATAGGGGAAGGGAGGGATAAATAAAAAGATGAAATCAGAGAGGGAGACAAACTTCATAAGAGACTCTTAAACATAAGAAGGTCACTGGAGGGGGTGGGGTGGAGTCCACATTAAGGAGTGCACATGATGTAATGAGCACTGGGCGTTTATATAAGACTGATGAATCACTGACCTCCACCTTGGAAACTAATAATACATTTTATGTTAATTAACCGAATTTAAATTAAAAAAAAAAAAAAACACACAACTATCTGTCCTCAGGTTAGAGAATCAGTAATAAATCGTTTCCTGATTGCAAAACACCATTTTCTTCTTTCGGATTTGATAGTAGAAGAAGAAGTTCCTAATATCAGGTAAAAGCAAACAAATCTTTTGTTTCTTATAAATATTATTTTTATGGTATTAAAATAAAATTTTCATGTAAATAGAAGATTTTATCCTTGTATGGGATGCTTTTGAGCCCCAGTAAGGCTAGGAACTGGTAAAACCTGATTAATGCCTCATGGTTAAATTAGTTGGGGGGCTTTGTTGAACAGGTCACACAAGATGCTCTCTATCACGCCCAATATACATCTCATCTCCCACTGTGCCCAAGTCAGCTTCACCAGCCTTTGCCACTTCCCTGCTGCAATCAGACTAAGTCTGACAGCATTTCCCTCCTGCACAGGCTCCTGTGTTCCACCTCCCTCTGCTAGACTGCTCCATACTCCACCCCCGCCCCTGCCCGGCACAGGACTGAGGGGGTGGCTCAGAATAAGCACTAGGGTTCCAGGTGGTGGGGGGAGACTGAGAGCTGCTGTGTGTTTGGTGACGGGGCAGGGGCAGCAGGGAAAATGAATATTTATATAGAAGTTGGGATTCCATTGCATTTGCTTGATTATCTCTGTTACTTAGAATAATCCTCAAATTGTCTCAACTCAAGGTGGAGGCATAAAATACAAAGAAATAACTTTCTGTATTGGTGGTCTTGTGCAGTGCATTAACTTCCTGACTTGTTCTGTGATTATTAAATCTCTTGGTCTCCTAAAAAGTTAATTTCCTATGCATGTACTTTCTCTCCACCACCAAGCTAAGAAGGAGACCAAAAAAAAAAAAAAAGTCCATCCATGGCAGCCCCTTTCTTTGACTTGGCCTCTATCCATATACCAGAGGCTGTACCCACATACACTCATGCAAACCCTCCCTCTTTATTCCAGGCTCAGAGTCCAGTCACTGAATGTATTTTTTTTCAGTCATGAAAATTATACTTTAGAATAGATGGTGATTTTTCATGCTGTTTTTCCATTTCTTTTCTTTCTTTTTCTTTGCTTTACTTTCTGCATTAAGTTCTGAAGGCTCAGGGTATGTTCTTTCTTCTTTTAATTTTGGTTTGTTCTTAGCATTAAACTAAGATGTTTTTATATTTAATGGTCCCAGCCACCAAGATGTTCCCATGCTGACTGCTAGCAGGGCAGCAAAGAGCTGCCTCTAGGGGAAGGGAGGGGAGGAATTTTGACAAAGAGAAGGGATGTGCCATGTTAGGATCCCCTGGCCAAGGTGTCTCTCTGAGGTTTCCAAATTTGGGTTAGTGGGGGTCCTGGCAGAGTGATTAATAAGATGGGCTTCATTTGCAGCAACATGAACCCTGAGGGAGTTATGCTAAGTGAGATAAATCAGACAGAGAAAGACAAATACGGTCCGAGCTCACTTATATGTGGAATCTAAAAAAGCCAAACTCATAAAAACAGAGTAGAATGGTAGTTATCAGTGGCTAAGAGGTGGGAACATTGAAGAAATGTCTAAAGGTAAAAGCTCACAACCAGTAGATTAAATAAGTTCTGGAGATCTCAAGCATAGCATAGTGAATATAGTCAATACTGTATTGTAAACTTCAAAGTTACTAAGTGCTTTAATCTTCATTGTTTCCCCCCTCAACCCCCCCCCCAAAAAAAAGTAATTATGTGAAGTTATAGTGGTGCTGGCTAACTCCACAGTGGCAATTATGTTCCAATATGTAAATGTATCAAACCAACACATTGTATGCCTTAAATTTACATGTTATATGACAATTACATCTCAATAAAATTAAATTAAAAATAATAAAATGTAGATAATAAGTCACATACAGAAAAGAGATTTGCAGTGTCACTCTCCTCACATTCCTCCTAGTTATTTTTCATAGCTTTCCATTATGTTAACATGTAATGGGTCTGCTCTTGTTTTAAGTGAGTTAAAAATAAAATAAGACTTTTCAAAAGAGGAGGGAACTGTCTGTTTAGTCAGAATGACCTGAGGTGGAACCCCAGCTCCCTCTTACTTAGGAGCCTTCAGCAAATCCTGTCACCTCCCAGAGCCTCCAGTTTCTTCATATGAAAAGTGGGGTAAATGTTACCCTTGTCAGGATTAGAACTATTCTGTGTAAGGCACCCAGCACTCTGCTTGATCTGCAGAAGGTGTTGATAAATGGCAGCTACTCTGTGTCCTCAGGACAGAAGGCCCTGGGGAACAAGCGGGAGCCCATCGGGAGCTGTCACCTCCCCAGCTGGCATGTGCCCCTTGGAAAGAGGCCCCCCCAGACAGGCAGGCTGCTTGGCAGCTCCGTGCTCGCAGGGAGACAGGGCAGCCTGAGGCTGGCTCTGCACAGCTGGCTTTGTCCTGCGCTGTCTGGCACAGTGTCAGCTTGCAGATACAAAATCACATCTGTGCTTCTGTTCAGTCTCTGGGCTGAAATTTAATTATCTGCTTCATGACCCTTTGTCCCACCATGATTCACTGACAGTGCTTCCATCCTCTTGGAAGTGTTTATCGGATTTCACCTCAGTGAGAAGGAGGGAGAGGAGAGGGATCCTCCTGCCTCTCCCCTTCCTCCTGCATCATCACTGCCATCATGTCACATCATCTTTAGAGCATCCACCAAGTGCTAGACCAGTGCCGGGGTGCTTTGCATACACCCCCTCCCTTTATCCTCTGCACAATCCCAAGAGGTAGGTATGATTATCCCCCATTTTACAGCTGAGGAAACAGAAACAAAGAGGTGAGATAATTTGCCCACGGTCAAAGAGTGGAGCCAGGAGTCCCATGGCTTTGTCTAATTCCAGAGGCGAAGGTACTCCAGGAAGTCCCAGGAAGGCTGTAATCACCTGCCATGTGATTGGAGCAGGCTAATGGCTAATGGGTGCTCTGGGCTCAGGAAAGGGACACTCCTTCCAGCTGACATGGCTGGGCCCTAACATGGTACAACCGCAGCCCCGGGCAGACAAAGAGGAAGTGGGGAAGGCACCCCATGTGCAGGACTGGCCTGGTCGAGCAAAGGTCCAGAGCAGGAGAGCACCTACACATCCGAGGGACCCAGGATGAGCAAGGCAGAGCACAAGGCAGGAAGCAAGAGCGACCCAAGCATACTTTTCTTCCTCTGATCAGTAGCAGCTAAAATCAACGTAAATGATCCACATCCAAGGATCTCCCCAGGCTCAGAATTTCTTGACGATTTCTACCCTTCCTTAAAAAGACAGAGTCATTCAGGGGCCTTTGAGGGACCCTGGGGGGAGAGTTTGGGAAATTGTCTCAAAGCTTTCCAGACCTTTCCTTTCCTTAGAGTACTAATCCTGTTCTGTGGTCATTAGCATTCTGGGGCTAAGCCTTTTCAAGCTGGCAGAACAAAAGCGACCACTAAGGCCAAGGAGAAAAGGTCGGAAGAAGGTGACGGCCCAAAACCTGTCCAATGGAGACATAAAGGTGTTGGTGAACATTATCCGGGCTTATGACATTCCCGTAAGGAAGCCAACAACAAGGTGAGAGCCTTCCAGGTGGCCCTGGGATGGAAAGTACAGGGTCTGAGCCCTGAGGGTGGGAAACGGCTCTCAGATAAGTAGGTGTGAGCTGGGGCAGATACTCGAAGGGTTATGTCCCAGGTTCTAAACACACATGCTATGAGCATAAAAATGATCTGCTCAGAGACATGAGTGATGCCAACTATGTTTCACTACCCTGGGGCAATGGGGATCCCTCAACCAGGGTAAGGGGAGCCTGAGTTTCTTGTTCCCTTTAGAGAACAGGGATGAGCGAGAATTAAAGAGCAGGTATTAAAACTTCTACCTCCTGGTGCCTTCATCAGTGTAATGAGGAAGGCTGACCTTTCTCGTCTCTTCTCCAGGTTTCCCACACTATGCTGAGGCTCTTTCGCACAGATTATTTCACTTATTTCATGTTACTATTAATATCTCCATTTTACAAAAGGGAAAACACATGGGTGGCTTGTCCAGAGTCATCCAGCACCGTCTGATTCACAGAAGAGCACCATTCTGGCCTTTTGCATCTTCTTTCCTCTCTAGGATCCTCCTTTTCAAATTTATCCCCTATCCATTATTTTAAACTTTTTTTTTTTGTACTACCTAACTCTTCCACCCATTACATCTGATCATCACCAACTATTCCCACCATCTGATTACTGGTAAATGTCCATTTAAGCTCTTGAATCTGTGCATAGCATTGCTTCCTCAAGTATAGCCACACCCCTTCACCTCAATTGAATCAAAGCTCAACTGTGGGAAGAAAAGCTGTTTTCTAAAACAATGTATAAGTATTTCTCTTATTTTGGTCTCTATAGAATATTTTTTCCATGTAAATCTTTTGTTTTAATAAATAAGACATATTCATGGCTTAGATTTTAAATCACATTTACAGATGAGCGACACTCTAGACCCAAACAGGTTAACAGTGAAGCTACTATTGCTGGAAGGAATGCATGCCCCTCCCCCTAACCCCCATGCATTTTAAGCCTAAAGAACTGAATGTCAGAGAATGCCATACATATCACCCTCTAAACTCTAGAACTGAAAGTGGAAGACTAGAGGAAGAGTGGAGACTTGGTGAAGCTCCCATAACCACCATCTGATATCCTTACCTTCATGCTACAGAAGCAAATGAAAGTGCTACTTTTAGATAAGCTAGGAAGATAAGCTTACCTGATTGCATTAAGTGAAACTTTCATGGTTAACAATTAAGCTAAGGGCATTAGCTACAGAGAGTATCCACCGATAATACAGAATATTAGAACAGCGAAGAGGAAGCGACACAGATACCCTGTTTCTTCAAATATCAGAAACTTCCACATTACAGCAGGAGAGCAGTGGATGAACTCCACCTCTCCAAAGGTTTAGTCCAAAAACTTCCCGTTGGCATTTGCATCAAGTAAGGCTCCTTGTACTTCTGGCATCATCTGCTGGGCTACAAGATCCAGCCGGCTTTCTAGGGTATTGGAAACTTTTATGTTACGATCCCCATTATAGATCTCAACTCCACCGGCTGTTTCCTCAGGCAGGTAGGCCCCCTGATCAGTTTGGACATCAATATCTTTTTTGGTGGAAATTTTGTACGTAGGAATCACTTTTTGCACTGCAGCCTTTACCAGAGGGAAATCCTGTTTCCTGCAATGGATAAATCATCCGGGGTTCCAACAATTGGCACAAACCCTGAAGGACCAGTCCATCCAAAAGCACATGGTACCTGGTTGTATCTTTTACCACCTTGCTGAGTCTCTGTTTTGCTTTATTGGGTAGGCCTGTGATAAGGTCATCTCTTGCTCTGAGGACTTTGAGCCTTGCTTGATTCATCAAATTAGACATCTGAATTTTCTTCTGCTGCTCGATCCATCTTTCTTTCTTCTCATAGTATTCCATCATCTTCAGTCTTTGGGTTTGCACAAGACGACCTTTCTCAATGTTGAGCTCCTCATCTGCCTTCACATCTACTTCCTCTGCTTTCTCATTGGCTTCTTGTTCAATGAAAGCCATCATATGCTTAATCTGTTCTTGCATGTCAGCACCGTTGAGGACCACGGCAAAAGCTGTGCTGGGCCAGAAGGCCACTGGCTTGAGCTTAGGTTGGAAGTGGGTGGTGGAAGGAAGGGGAAAAGAAAATCCAGTGGAGGTTTCATCTTCCTTTGCTTTATGATTCCGGCTTCCAGCTCCTATAGAATATTTTTTAGGTGTTAAACCATTTCATTCAAATTATAAGGAAGCTTAGTTGATCCTCTGTGTTATATATATGTGTAGGCTCATCAAGACAGCTCAGATATCAACTCTTGCATTAAGCCTGCCCAAATCTTAACCCTCTACCCTTGCATCCAACTAGATCAGATTTTTCATCTCTCTCTCTGTACTCTTACAGCCCATGCCCATCTCTATGTTCTAACGTGTGTCCCACTGTATCGTGATTATCTGTTCACATGTCTGCTGGCCTTTTAGTTGGAGCTGAAGTGTGTCTGATTTGTCTCTGCAGCTCCAGAGTCTAACACAGGGCCTGAAATATAGTAGGCACTTCACAGATGTTTTGTAATACTGTAATCAAGTGGTGTTCCAAAGAGAAAAAGGGTTTCTCTGGAAATTGTTGCATTAAATATTCCACTTTTATTGTCTCATGGTTTGTCTGATACCTTTATCCGTGAAAAGGTAAGATAATCTGGTAGAGACAGTTTATATTTTGCCCAGTAATGAATACGAAATACTTGGTAAACCATTAAGTTCAGTGCAAATACGCAGGTGTGTTGTTAGGATGAGGGGAGAGGTATCTGGGAGAGACTCTCTGGAGATGATCTTCATCTCCTTTTTTTAAGAATCCCAAAAAGGATGGGGTATCTGCGTGGTTCAGTCCATTATGCATTCAACTCTTGATTACAGCTCAGGTCATGATCTCAAGGTCATGAGATCAAGCCCCATATTGGGCTCCACACTGGACGTGGAGTCTGCTTAAGATTCTCTCTCTCCCTCTCCCTTTGCCCCCTCCCCTCTATCTCCACCCTTACTACCCCTTGTTATCACCACCCCTCTGCCCCAGCTTGCATGTGAGCTCTCTCTTAAAAATAAGAATCCCAGGGCAGCCGGGGTGGCTCAGCAGTTTGGCACCGCCTTCAGCCCAGGGCCTGATCCTGGAGACCCTGGATCAAGTCCGATGTCGGGCTCCCTGCATGGAGCCAGCTTCTCCCTCTACCTGTGTCTCTGCCTCTCTCTCTCATTCTGTGTTTCTCATGAATAAATAAATAAAATCCAAAAAAACCCACATCGTATGGCAAATTAAATCTATTAAAAAAAAAAATCCCAAAGGGAAATAGGGCAAGACCCATAGATCCTAATTCAAGCTAGGAATCCCTGAGATCCTTTTATCCCAGTGATGCCTGGTGGGCCCAGAGAAGTGTCTTACTGGAGAGTGCAGGGTCATAGAGAACACAATGGGAGGCGTCTGGGTGGAGATAGGGCAGGCTGGCCAGGGCGCTCTCATTTGTTGGGGGGGAAAACAGATTTCTCACTCAGGCACTCTCTGGGAGCAGAGTGGGAAGAGAACACTTTTCTCAGTTCCAGCCAGACATGCAGGTCTAGGGATGGAAGTTGGGGTGTCTCTATTAGTTACTAGGTCACAGAGAGGACCCACACATATGAAAAGCTTTCTGAAGTGTCAACAAACTTAAAGAAAATGTCTGTCACTGGAGCCATACCTCTTTGGAGAAGCTATCTTGCTGAGTATCTAATTGGATTTTTCTTGTCATTAATTTCTGTCATGCATTTCTTGCCCCTAGCAAATTCCAGCAGCCTTCAAGATCTTCAAGGACTTTCAGCGAGAAGCGTGCTGCTTCCCCAACCACACACAGCCCAACCCACAGTTCTGACTACCCCCTCGGCCAGGTGAAATACCTAGATGCTGGGTGACAGCTTAGAACCTTGCCCCTTGGGTGCCTGGGTGGCTCAGTCAGTTCAGCGTCTGCGTTGGCTTGGGTTGTGATCCCAGGGTCCTGGGATGGAGCCTGCATTAGGCTCCCTGCTCCGGAAACCTGCTTCTTCCTCTCCCTCCGCCTGCTACTCCCCTTAATTGTGCTCTCTCTCTCTCTCTCTCTCTCTCTCTCTCTGTCAAATAAATAAATAAAAATCTTTAAAAAAAAAAAAAAAGAAGAAGAACCTTGTCTCTTCAGAACTGCCTACAAACTTTATAGTCTCTTTTCTGCTTCATTCTCTTTGGAAACACACTAGTCAGTAAACATATTCTACCTCTGCTAAGAACAAAATAATTCAAAAACCTGTTAGGGACGCTAACAACTTGCTCTTACATTTAAGGTTTTAGTACGTCCTTTTGTGGAAGTTTCTTTTCAACGAACGATTTGCCACACAACAACAGCAGAAGGACCAAATCCCAGCTGGAATGAAGAACTTGAACTTCCTTTTAGGTAAGAGTGTTTTACTCTTTAGGAACTGCAGGATATTTTGAAGAAAGGTGAATAAAATGGAGCCCCAGGGGGAAATGACTACAGTGAAAGTTTCTGTAGCTCATGAGCCAGGACAATATCAAAGAGTCTGACACTGAGTCCCATGCTGCTCTTGTGGTACCACAACTGACTCCAGTCAAGAGCAAAATGGGAAAATGTCCAACTTTTGAGACTCGGGTTCACTGTTGGGATACCCCCACACCTCTCCAGGCTCTGGTTTCTGTGGCCCAAAACTTCTCATTCCCTTGGCCACAGGGCCCCTATACTACTTTTCTTTTATTCCTCATCTCCCCGACTCTGGAAGCTTCAAGTAAACTCCCCAGCCTGTAACTCTCTACTTTTCATAATTACACTTTCTTCCTCACCAGAAATAATACATAGGCATTTAAGACTTTAAGTGATTTTTTTTTATATTTACAAGACTCCCTTATTTCAGATCTTGAAGCAACCTTAGAAATGACCTAGTGCAACATTCATTCTACTTCTACAGAAATTAGGGACAGCTGGGTGGCTCAGCGGTTAAGCATCTGCCTTTGGCTCAGGGTGTGATTCCTGGGGTCCTAGGATTGAGTCTCATATCAATTCTAGGGAGCCTGCAGAGAGCCTGCTTCTCCCTCTGCCTGTCTCTGCCTCTCTCTGTGTCTCTCATGAATAAATAAATAAAATCTTTAAAAAAAAAGAAAAGAAAAGAAAATCCAAAGATGGAAGGTGACTTGCTTAAGGCCACATAGCATATTAGAGACAGCAAGGATTAGAGCTAGTCCAGTCAGAAGACAGAGACACATATCACTGTTATGCACAGAATAAGCACAAAGAATGAGCAAACACAAAGGCAAATGCTCAACAAAATACATGCAACAGTCTTGGGCCAGGCCTGGCTAGACTCAGAGCAGGTGATATTATAGGAGATGAACCTCACCCCTGCACTGCTCTAGTTATCTATAGAGAAAGTAAGTGGAAGGCAGGGACCATTCAACCAGCCTTATAACACCAGGAGGGAATGGTCTGCTGGAGAAGCATCTTCCAGAGCCCAGTTGCTTAGGAAACCTGCCTACTGGCATGAGTGTCAGCTGATGATCTTGAATGTAGCCTGTCCACTGAGCCAGCTCAATCATGCCCAGCTGGCTCCTGGCAAAGTTCACCATGCAGGTTGGGGGGATGATGTGAGGCTTGGCAGGGCAAGCCAACAGACAGGGGGTTTCTCTCTCTGCCTAGAGCCTCCAGTCGAATACCCCTTCCACCTGAGTATAGATATTATGTTATAATATCTCAGTGCAAAGACAAATATTTGAAATGAAAGCACTGCTTTTAATCTTCATATCTATGCTCAGATTTGAGTATTTTTCAAGTTTTGCTATTTGAGTGCCCATTGTTTCTATCTCACTCATTCTCATGGTCCCTGGTCACATGTGCCCATTTGCAGGGCTCCCAATGGGGATTACAGCACAACAAGTTTGCAGTCAGTGAAAGATGACGTGTTCATTAACATTTTCGATGAAGTGCTGTACGACGTCCTAGAGGTAAGTTCACAGTTTCAGGAAGACATGCACTCATGTTCATGTCCTCTACTCACTGTAAATCCTTAACACATTCTCTTGGTGGTGTTTGAAATGTTTCAAACTTGACATGTATAAACAGGAAAGGGAGAAGGGAGGAAGAGAATTAGCTTTTTTATTTTCAACTGAGTGTCTGCTAGGTTCCAGGAATTGCACTGGGTGTGTTACACATATGGTCTTGATTCTAGAATAACTTTGTGAAGTAGATTGTTAAATCTCCAATTTAGTGGGTGCAGAAGGGTTAAGTGACTTTCCCAGGGTGGCAAAATGATTAGGTGTCTGAACCAGAATGGGATTGAGGTCTGTCTAACGTTGCCCATGGGCTTTCAGCTAAACCCCACCATTTTCCTGGGGCAGATTAAATAAATGAGTGGCTGGAGTTCTTAAAGTTATCGCTTCCTACTTTCCTTCAGGATGACCGTGAAAGAGGAAGCGGAATCCACACCCGTATTGAGAGACACTGGTTGGGAAGCGTGAAAATTCCATTTAGCACAATATATTTCCAAGCCAAGGTAAGGATCGAAGTCAGAATCCCATGAAAGGAGGGAATGGTTGTATCCACTTCTGTTACAGCTTTCTTTGCAGGTCTCTACCCTCTACATTGAGAGAACCTGTGTGCAAGCCGCAGCTGGAAAGATAAAAAGCCATTGATCTTGTGTCATATTTGCGTGACTTGTAAAACATCCAATTCCTGCAGAGTTAGGAGTTAATGGAGTACTGTTCCAATCTGAGAATTTTTCTAACATTTAAATAGAAGTGAAGCAGAGGTGGGACAAAGCGGAAACTTGTCAAAATGACAAAAGTGGAGTGGATGGGTGCCTGAAAGTAATGTAAAGGGAACAATCAGGACAGTGATGGCTCATTTAATCACATGCATTCTACTAATGTTTCTAGAGTGCTCACTATTTCAGACATGAAAAATGGTTGGTACAGGCTCGTTCAACTAAGACACCCTTCTTCAGAGTTTAATGATTTTGCTGAAGGGGACCCATTAGGTTAACAACTCTTGAATGATTTAGTAGCTCTAATCTGGGACAGTGAAAGATTCTGCAATGGCTTTAATACCCTGGTATTAAATCCATGGCAACAGGAGGCTTTGAGCCACTAATCTCCCACAGCTACAGAGGGGGCTGTTTAATTCCACATGAGATGACCACACAGAGCAAGCTTCACCCCAGCCACAGAGTCTTCAGCAAGACCGAGGCTTGGATGGGTTGGAATCTCAGGAACAATTAGAATTACAATTCTCCCCCTAGACAAAAGGACAGTCAGTCTCAGGTGAAGCTTCGGTGATATGCTGGCCAAAAAATTTACATTTCCCTCTTTGAATAGATCTTAAATGAAAAAAAAATTTTTTAAGAGCACATGAGTTTGTAAACGAAACTGCCATTTATTTGGCGTTGCCGAATTTCACATTTGGAAGGGTACCCAGAGGTAATTACTCCAAATCCCTTCTTGAAAAATGAATGTCCTTTACTGTATTGTGGTAATGTCCATACTCTGAGTGTCTCTACAAACAGGGAACTCATGACTTCATGAGGCAATTTGATCTCTTTGCCAGGCTGTGTTATAAATTTCTTGCCATAATCTATGTGCTTCCCTATTCGTAGGTCCTGGTTTGGAGCTACATATAACATGTCGAATCCCAACTCACTACTAACAGTAGGGATAGCTATATTTAGACACACATTACAGGACGTTACTAGCTGATTTGTATGTCACCTCAATTAAACCTCACAACAAGCCAGTCAGCTTTATTGTTCCCATTTTACAGATGAATAAACAGAAGCCTAGAGAGGTGAAGTCACTACTCAAATCCCAAAGCTTACAGCAGAGCAGGATTCAAATTTTCCCTACTTCCCACAATGCTCTCACATTGCTTATCCCTGGGGAATAAGACTGGTAAAAGGAGAGAGAACCATTCAAGTTCTGGGTTTATACATTTCAGTATTAGTTTTGAGAATGGTTTTATTACATTTGTCACTTAAAAATTTTATCTGACTCCAAAGCTTGTGCATTTCCATGCACCCACAGGGGACATTTGGCAGGATCTAGAAATACCTCTGTTTGTCACAACCAGTGGGGAGAGTTATTGGCATCTTGTCAGTGCAGACCAGGAATGCTGTGGACACCCCACAGGGTGCAGGACAGCCCCCACCACAGACAATCATCAGGCCCCAGTATCAGCTGTGCCCAGGCTGAGAAACACTGTCTTAAATCTTTACACTTCAACTATTTGGAGATAGTTTCCCATCCTTTCTAAGTCATCTACCTATTTCCCAGATCAGATCTGCTCAGTTATTACAGCTGCACATTTCACGGCATTATTTCTGTATCCTTTTCCCTGTACCCTCTCACCTGCCCTCCTGGTGCAGGCTCTGGGGGAAAGCACCGGTATAAGGAGGAAAATAAACAACAGCTCACTTAATACCTCCCTGGAAGGTGCAATCACTGAAAGTTTAACTTCTTTCTCTGTTTCTCCTGAGACATAAATGCCACTAAAGACTGAAAGGAAATTAGATTCTCTGTAAGTATGTGAATTTCAAATTCCAGCTCTGAATATTTGTGTGGCACCAGACAGTCTTTAATAAGTCTTTAATAAACTTATTGTTGTGTTGGCTATGCAAGAGTGGAAATCCTTGTCTTTTGGAGCTTCTACAGAAACCAGGTCACTTTATATAAGTGACTTGTAGTGCATTAAGCCTGCATATATTGAGCACCTGCTGTATATACAAAACATTGCTATACATTGGAGAAGGGTGGTCTAAATGGGAGTGATATATAGATCTATTCACAGAGAAGTCAGGTATCCAGAACAAAGGGATAAATATGCACACAACTATAAAGTCTGGTCGAACATGTCACAATAACAAACACGGACCATGCAAACCATGTGTGAGGCTGCTAGGGATAACAAAATAATTCACAAAGGAGACAACATCTGGCTCAAGTCTGAAAATAATGATGAATACTTTGCAAGGGGGGATGAAAAGCTGGGGCATTCCAGAAAAGGGGGAATGACTACTGGCGAACAATATTGAGTGCTGAGCATATGACAGGCATTTTTCGGAGTGTTAGATATCTATTCAGTCAGCACACCTAACTACCATACAAATAGGTACTTTATAAGCGCACAAGGTGAGGTACTTGGAGTGTAATCCAGGATTTGAACCCAGGTGACCTATTGTTACTGTCAATCTACAGAGCTGATACATGCTCTGCTGACCTGTGCAGAGGCAGGGACATAGCCCTTCCTGTGAGAGATGGGGTAAGACTTGAAGGCCAGGCTGAACAGTCTTTATTGGACTCATCAGTGAAGAGTCGACACTTGCCTTTGAACTTCCATTGGAAAACCACCAGTATGTTTACCAAGTCATATGTTCTTCACAGATTGATGGAACATTTAAAATAGACATTCCCCCTGTTCTTCTGGGCTACAGCAAAGAGCGAAGCATGATTATGGAGCGGGGTTTTGACTCTGTACGAAGCCTGAGCGAAGGCTCCTACATCACCCTGTTCATTACCATCGAGCCTCAGCTGGTTCCCGGGGAGTTGGTTCGAGAAAAGGTAACCACACTTCCACTTTAGAATTGCATGTCTGATGTTGATGAGACACAACAAATGCTTGCTAGGCTGTGCTTCATAAATGCAGACTGCATGGCACATGCAGAGGTCTCCTTACACTGTCCATTCACTACTCTACGGTCTGAACAGAATATGAGATTGCAGATTTGTACCATTGAGCCAATAATTCGGTTGATCAACAACTTAAACTTTCCAGCAAGACAAACATAAACATGGTCCAAGTTTAGAAGAATTTTCTTAATGGAAGAAAAAAAAAATAGCAAACTCCTCTTTTATATTGATGTTTATTGGCAAGCATGCCAAAATACATCTCCATATCTAACCTCACATCCTTGGTTGTGCTGTGGGTTCAATCAATGTATAGGATCATAAGGCTAGATCTCCAGGGGTTACCTCATTTCAGTGCCTTCAGACAGAAACAAATAAATATATGCAAAAGTACCTCTAATTCTGAACCGATCTACAACTAAGAGTTTCCAGAATCTCCATTTGTTGGCAACTGTGTCCCAACCCTTATAGCCAGGAGACACTTTCTCAATGTAACATGCTTATGCAGCATTGATGTGCGCTGCCTTCATTGGTCTGGGGAGAAAGTATTGATCATGACCTTTTTATTCTAAAAACTAATACAATCGGCACTACCACCACCACCATGTACTGAGTTCTTACTCAGTCCTCAGCACCGTGTCAGACATTTGACACAAGTGCTCTCTTAATACTCACAGCTGTACTGTACGGTTGGTCTCCGATTGAGACAGGAGGAAAACGAGGCTCAACTCTCCAGTTCATTCAGGCAGTAAATGCAGAGCTAACGATTAAAGGTCTGTCTGACTCGAAACTTTACATAGTCAAAAATATTTACTGAGCATCTTCTATGTGACAGGCATTTTTCAGGCATGGAGATACAGCAGCCTAGAAAAGCAGATAAAAATCTCACAGAGCTCACGTTCATGTTTAAACCCAGCTTGTCACCTACTAAACTCAACTGCATGGATTCTCATGCTGACTCTTTATTATTACGACTCAGATGGAGATGGGGAAAAATGAGTACATTCCTCTTTCTTTTACAGTATTACAATTTGGTTCACAGGGAAAAATACTATTGCCCTTTGCAAGGATTATTGGAAAAATAAATCTACTAAAATTCAAATTAATCTTCTATGTTAGCCTTTGTCACTGACACTGTGACAAAAATGTTCTCTAGAAAACATGGCAAAATATATGCATTTCAGAATATTTCTAGGAAGTGAAATATGTATTCTGAATGTTTTTTCTTTACATATAAATTCAAGAGAAAGCCAACAAGCATGTTGACATAGAAAAATGCTCTCAGACAAAAGATGATTTTGCTATTTCTATGTATCCCTAATGAAGAAAAAGCACTCCATCTGGAGGTGAGCTTACAAAACATTTGAAAGCAGTCTGTGACCTCGGCTGAAAGCCTGAAAACCAGAGCCGCCTTAGCACCTGGCGCAATTCCTGGCATTGACCCCCGTTGGGCTCTGAAACGGCCCCCAGGTCCTCTAACCTTCCCTGCCTACAGCCAGGTAACTAGGCTGTCCTTTGGTGGCATTTCACTGCCCCGCTGTGGCTGCATGGAGCATTTCTCTTAGGCCTCTGAAACAAGGACTTAAAAAACCCTTTGGAGGACACAGGTTCTTTGCTGCTGTTTAATGAGGAAGGCATGTGGACTGAGGCACTCAGATGTCCTAAACACAGTGGCAGAAAACACTACTCGGTGGTTCCCCTGCAGATGATTCAGGAGAGACAAGCTCTCACCCTAAGATAATAGAGGCCACAACCTGGAACTGTTTTTCCACTTAATCAGCAACTTCCAGGATTAGCAGATCAGAGTCTTCCCTCCACGATCATCCCATGGGGACTCATTCCCTATGACTTTTTAAATGGATTTACTCATGGAATTTTCATAAGAATTGGTAGCAATTCCTGAAACTCCTACTGTAACTAACTACATTGTCTTGATAAAAGTAAATTTTTAAAAATAGATTATTTCTGTTAATAAAGTCTTCCTCTCATTTCTTTTTTTCCTTCTTGCCTCTGATAGATGAATGACATGCTTAAAAAGGTATACCAAATATTCTGTTTTACATTCGTTGGTTAGTAGTTATTAGGCTTTCACTTAGCTGCTTTTTGTCCCTTGCCACTTTATGGAAGCTGCTAGGTCCTAGTATATGTGTGATCCCTTGACAATGAATCACAGACATCTAAAGTTCCTTAAAGAATGTCCAGCTTTGTCTTTTGGCCCATTTTTAGCTTTGAATGTAGGAAGTTATAGGTGTAGATGTAACCTGCATCCTGGGCACTATCTCTACTGTGTCCAGGCCTATAAAATCCATGAGCTGCTTCTTACAGACAGTGCAGCTGTGACAATGATTTCTGATGGGTGGAGCTCTCATAGTGTAGCTATCCAAAGGGAGGTTTTAAACCCATTCGATTTTCTCTGACACTAACCTAGAGCTAAAAAATTGACCCAGTTAAGAAATCTTCCAAACTTCATGTTGAATCAAACTGAGAATTTGTCAGTTAGCCCTTAATTTGTTTTGTAATAACCCAACTTCTTTTAGTATTTAGCTTTCCTTTGGCACTTCTTGGATTACCAATACGGCATCCTCCTCTTTAAATCACTGCATCGCTCCATTAAATGGCATCCTGATGACCTAAGCAAGTATTAATGGCCATTAATAATACTTACTTAAATGCTTACCTGTGTATGCTCAGTGCAGAGAGGACCACAAGATGATTCAAGCATAGGCCCTACTCTCATGAAGCACTAGATATGTACTCAAAAAACACAACAGCACATCCAGGCCCGAGTGGTAGGAAAAGTTTTAGGCACCGTTTCTTCAATCTGTAAGTCCAATGGTCAGGACTGATTCAAGGTTTTTGTTGCTGTCTCTGGACAATGCCTATTTCTGCCTCTTAAGTGCTTCCTTAGCACCCCATGTTTATCTCCATAGAATCTCTGGTCAAGTATTTCAAGTGCCTGACTTGAAATTATTATTAATGCTTTCCTCTAGACTAGAAGTTACTTGAGGGTACTGTTTCATACTCATTTATTCACAGTGCCTGGAAACTTTTAGACTCTCAGCAAACAATTGGATGTGTAAGTAAATGAATGAGTTTAAGGGAAATGGATGAATTCACTAGGTGCTTTGTTTCATACCACCCTTGTTTCATAATTACCCATCCTTATAATAAAGTTATATTATTTCTGGGGTGACAGTTCTATCCCAGGAGTTGGTGACACACCCATACCAAGTAAGTCTTAGGAGCTCACCTTTTTCATTTATTTATATCTCCATCATAATGTCTGCTGGGCAGCTACCATGTGTTGGCACTATGCTGAGCAGTAGGTGGTTATGACGATGATGATATTCAAATTCAGATGTCAGGGACATCCCATGAGAATATATGGGAGGCTTCTGGAGGTGCTTCCTACTTAATCCCCACAACTGCCACCCCAATCCTTCAGGATGTAGCAATCAAATTAGAAACAAAAGCCACAGTCCAGCCCCAATGTAACAGTAATCAAGAACAACAGGGATAGCCTAGATTCAATTTGAAGTCATCAAAAAGTAAGGGGATGTTTTCTGTGCACTTGCTCATTCACTGAACAGTATTTGTGAAACAATTACGACATGTACTATGTATCAGGTGGTACTAGTACTACAGATAAAAAACAAGATCAGGGGGGATCCCTGGGTGGCGCAGTGGTTTGGCGCCTGCCTTTGGCCCAGGGCGCGATCCTGGAGACCCGGGATCGAATCCCACGTCGGGCTCCCGGTGCATGGAGCCTGCTTATCCCTCTGCCTGTGTCTCTGCCTCTCTCTCTCTCTCTCTCTCTCTCTCTGTGTGTGTGACTATCATAAAAAAAAAAAAAAAAAAAAAAAAAAACAAGATCAGGGGTGCCTGGGTGGTTCTGTGAGTTAAGCATCTGCCTTCAACTCAGGTCATGAACCCAGGGTCCTAGGATAGAGCTCCACATTAGGCTCCCTGCTCAGCAGAGACCTTGCTTCTCCTTCTGCTTCTGTCGCTCCCCCCACTCGTTCTCTCTCTCTCTCTATCTCTCTCTCTCTCATGAATAAATAAAATCTTTTAAAAAAAGTCCAAATTTTAAAAATAAATAAATAAAAAATTAAAAAATTGTATTTGAGTTTGTCTTGAAACCCTTTGAAATGTAAGCAACCATATGTATACTTTTACACTAAGCAACAAAAATCTTGTAAAAACATTTAAATATCTGCTCTATTCAAACTTTTTTTTTTAGCAATAATTTTAAGGGAAAAAGTCACAACATGTGTCTAAAGGCAAATGAAAATTGTTCTGTTTCATCTGCTTTGAGTTACTACCAGAAGTCTGGGAACTGGTAGCTCATCTTGGATCAGAGAAATGCTTAAAATAAACATAATACATTTGTTCTTTTTAGTTGTTTCCATTTTCCCTGTGACCCATTACTATTATGTATTACATTGATTATGGATTCAAAACTTAACATACCAACATATATCTGTCAATTTGTTATGCATTTAACACGAGTTGCTCAAGCTTTGCATTTGATATGTTAGATTTCTGAAGCCCTCTCCGCTCTAAAACCAATGTCAAAATACACATAAAACTATTGCTTGGTCACATCAATCAAAATGAGTACATCATAGTTTATTTTTAGAGGTGTTTAAAGTTTCCATAGGGCTGCTTGCCTATTGACTACTTTCTTTCAATTCTGTTCAATATATTTTAAGTATTTAATGAAGCCACCTAAGTTTTAGATTACAAATATAATTTAAAAAAAGCATGACAATATTGTAAGGAGTCACTTAATCATAGTTCCTAAAAGCACACATGTAGTTCAGGTTGACTGTGGTTTTCAACAAGTTCTGCTGTGTCTCCAGTAATCGTATGTGACTCCATAATCTTTGTTTTTAAAGTTTGATTCTCAGGAAGATGAGAAATTGCTTCAAGCAACAGAGAAGTTTCAAACTGAATGTGCCTTAAAGTTTCCACATCGCCAGTGCCTCACAACAGTGACTGACATAAGTGGAAAAACTGTATTTGTCACTCGTTACCTGAAGCCTTTAAACCCTCCACAGGAGCTCCTGGATGCCTGTCCCAACAATCCTCAGGCAACGGCAGTAAGTATTTCATAGCCAATCAGGGCTGCTGCTAAAAATGTGTTAAAATTTTAATATATTGCCCTCTTAATTACTCTATTTCATAGTACTTAAGTAGTCCCTATATGAGATCATTAGTGGTGAAAGAAATGACTAACACTTTTTTATTACCCTGAGGCTCACTTTCTGTAGATAAGTCTGAAGGTACCAGAAAGGGTAGTAATCCTTAGTTCATTCTTTCAGTGAATAATTATACAGAGCTTCCTGTGTCCCTGGCATTATATTGGGTTCTGGAAATTAACATTTAGAAGATGCTTTACATTTTTGCAGTGTCTTACATAAACATGTCTTCATTATGTGTCTTCCATCAGTCTTTGGGATTTGATCCTAGGCCTCTCACTTCAGAAATCATGCACATTCTACTATAGCAAGATAACAATTCAATATTATACTTAATATTATAGGCATCATTGAATTCAAATTAAGCAAATTATTTCCAAGATTTGAGGATGCACAACATGTAAGCTATCATCACCACAGAATATAACCATACTGGGCCATTAAATATACATGCACATTCTCTGGCTGCAAAGCACCCTACCCATCACAACCACACACGAACAGAAATCATATGTTAAGCAGGCTATTTTTAAGTGAATACTGTAACCCATAACTATTTTAGTGATGGGTAGTATAGGGAGTAGTTGCTGCTAATAAGTCATTAACATAATAATTTAGGAACACAGTGAAGATATATCTATTTGCAGATAAAGATATATCAAAAGAAAAACCTGTGTTCCACATTTCATTTGCTTTATTAATCAATTTTTATTAAAAACCATAATAGGGACTTCCCTCTATTCTTCCTAGCATAGTAAATAATGCAGAAAACTTCTCCCAGGAGAGAACGCTTAGGAGTGATGAATAAAATCTTTAAACCATCTTTAAAATCATGACTGACATAGAAATAAGGTGAAGGGGGAAACTTGAGAGATAGGAAACCACGAAGCAGATTTCATAAGGGTGAGAGCCTGAAATAGCATTTGCTCTGAGGTCATCTGATAATTCTTAATGCCTCAAATTGGGCTTCAAGACGGCCACAAGGCTATAGGGGAAGGAGTTAATATGTGGTGCCAGCGTAGGCAGAAGGGTTGAATTAGAGACTCAGGTACAGTTAGGACCATTGACAGGTAATGTCAACAGTGGCTAAATCAGGAACTACCCTGCAAGGAATTTTGCCTGTCTTAGTCTTGACTCTGGATGGAAGAGAAATGTGAAAAGTCTCTCCACAGAATCCCCAATCACTAAGTTGTATTTACTCACATTTGGGACTGGAATTTACACTGCCTGTAGGACCCCCCAAAAAAACTTCAACTGAAAATATAATTGAAATTTAAATTAAATTTCCTCAGCCTTAAAAACAAACAGAAAAGGGATGCCTGGGTGGCTCAGCAGTTGAGTGTCTGCCTTTGGCTCAAGGTGTGATCCTGAAGACCCGGGTTCGAGTCCTGCATCAGGCTCCCTGCATGGAGTCTGCTTCTCCCTCTGCCTATGTCTCTGCCTCTCTCTCTGCGTGTCTCTCATGAATAAATAAATACAATTTTTAAAAACAAACAGAAAAGGTTCCAAAGTTCCAAGCAACACAACCATATAAAAGATCATCAATGAAGAAATATGTCACCATGAAGATGGTGAGAGTTAGTACACATAACACACCGCAGAATCCGGCCACAAAGACTGCAGATACTAGAATTATCAGACTAAGAATATAAAATAGATATGTTTACTAAGTTTAAGAAATCCAGGGAATTGAAAATGTGACAGAAGAACAGTAGACTATCAGAACTGACAGGCAGATTGTTAAAAATATTGCATGGTATTTATAGAAATATAGAATAGTTAAAATTAGAAAATGAGCTACTGGCTCAAGCAAAACATTAAATACAGTAAAATACAGAGTTAAGTTACATACAGGTAAGTACAAAGAGAACTAGTTAACTGGAATATGCATGTAAATAATTTACTTGGAATATAGCACAATGATAGCAAAAAAATAGAAGATTAAAAAGAAAGGTTAAGAGACATGGAGGATAGAGGGAGGAGGACCAAACCTGTATGAAAGGAGAAAGTCAATGTTCAAAGAGATAAACTGAGAATTTATAAAATTTGATGTAGACAACAATCCTCTCTGATGCAGGAAGCTCAATATATCCAACACAAGATAAATAAAATGAAATTAAAATCTAGGCATACCATAGGGAACTACAAAGACAAAGATGATCTTAAAAGCAGCTGGGGAGAAAACAAATTTTCTACAAAAGATCAATGATGCATCCAATAGACTTTTCAGCTGCACAAATGAAAGTCAGAGAAGGCTTTCAAAAGGCTGAAAGAAAATGGCCATCAAACTATTTATTTATATCCAGTGAAACCATCTTTCACACGAACATTGGGAGAATTTACAACCAGAAGATTCTCACTTAAGAAATTTCTAAAAAATATACTTCAAAGAGAAGGAAAACTCTGAGAAAATCCTAGACTCTGCACATAATGGTATGGGGAATTTGTGAGTAAATCTAAACAGGCATTATCTTCAAATCAATAATAATAGTAATGAGGATGAAAACCAGTGATAAAACAAAAATCCTGGGGTAAAATGCATATATGTCAGGATAGGATTGATAATATTAATACCCTTGTATTTTTCCAAGAGGAGAGCAAAGATATTTATTAACTTCTAGAGTTTAAGCTAAATATTCACGTTGAAATTTCTTTTTTTTTTAAGATTTTATTCACTTATTTTAGAGAGAGACCATGCACAAGCAGGTGAAGGGCAGACGGGGAAGGAGAGGGACAAGCAGGTTCTGTGCTAAGTGTGGAGCTCAACATGACTCAATCACATGACCCTGAGATCATGAGCTGAGCCAAAATCAAGAGTTGGGGACTCAACTGACTAAGCCACCAAGATGCCCCCATGTTGAAGTTTCTAGATTAATCACTTAAAAAAAAAATTTAAGTACATGTAATTTTCAAAGTGGCAGGAGATAAAATAATAAAATGGGGGATGCCTGGGTGGCTCAATCGTTGAGCATCTGCCTTTGGCTCAGGTTATGATCCCGGGGTCCTGAGATGGAGTCCCACATCAGGCTCCCTGCAACGAGCCTGCATCTCCCTCTGCCTATGTCTCTGCCTTTCTCTGTGTCTCTCGTGAATAAATAAATGAAATCTTTAAAAGAAGAAAAGAAAGAAGAAAGAAAGAAAAGAAAGAAAGAAAGAAAGAAAGAAAGAAAGAAAGAAAGAAAGAGGATGAAGTGAGTGGGGAGAACAAAAAGAAATGTAGGAAAAAATGTGAAAAATAAGCACAGAATAAGGTAGTAGAAATGGTCTAAATGCTTACCAGTAATCACAAAGCAAACAGATTAAACTTTACAGTTAAAAGACAAAGCCTGTCAGACTAGATTTTTTTTTAAGATTTTATTTATTTATTCGTGAGAGACACAGAGAGAGAGGCAGAGACACAAGCAGAGGGAGAAGCAGGTCCCATGCAGGTAGCCTGATGTGAGACTCGATCCCAGATCTCCAGGATCACACCCTGGGCTAAAGGCAGTGCTAAACCGCTGAACCACTCGGGCTGCCCCCAGACTAGATTTGTAAACTGTTTATAGTGGCCCTTGACAAGCTGATTCTAATATTTATACGATGGTGCAAAGAGCCAAAATAGCCAAGATATCTTGAGGAATAAGAAGAACTCAGTGGGAAGATTTGCCATGCCATATATCCAGACTATTTATGAGACCATGGTAATTAAAGCAAATGGTATTGGCACACAGATAACAAAGGGAAAAACGGAAAAAAATTAAAAGTCCACTCAAATATGACCCACTCAAACCTGACACATGACAAAGCTGGCATTGGAAATTAGTAAGGAAAAGATTGACTATTACACAAAGTTTACTGATTTTTACATATGGAAAAAATAAAAAATAGACTCCTACTTCATATCACTCAAGTGCAGACAGATTGAGGACTTACATGTGAAGGCATTTTCATCTTTATGACTTGAAATAGAAAGTATTTCTTAAACAAGATACAAAAAAGCACAAGCTATAAAGAAAAAGAATGATACATTTGGCCATATTAAGAGTGAGAACTTGGGTTTTATCAAAGACACCACAAAGAATGAAAAACCACAAATATGATGTTGACAACATATATAATAGACAAATGAACACCAACTAGAGTATATTTTAAAAATACCTGCAAATCAATAAGAAAATGTACAAAATACTGAAACAGAAATTCATAGTGGGACTGATCCTGCCAGCCACGGGGCAACTTTTCTCTAAATAGCCAGTTGGGCTGGTGATAAGACAGGGTAGGAATGTCTTTTAGTCTTTGAGTTCTGATAAAATACAAAAGGTTTTTAGATAATGCCTGAAGAGTAGGGCTAAACATCGTGTCTACCATCAGAGCTGTCTTCCAAGGAAACACATCCAAGGCCTGGCTACCTCCCAGCCCATGCAGTAGACTGCTATCCAAGTGTATGCTTAGACCACGTAAGCCACCATTGCAAGCAAGCAAGGCCTTCCCCCAAAGCCTAGGGCTGTGTGTGGTGCCTGCTCGTCCAACTCCTCTTACAGTCACTTCTATATCCTCCCTTATCCATGCACACCAGGGAGTGAGACAGAGACCTCAGGGGTTTGTAGGTTTTCCAAAGGAATAGAAAGTGGAGTTCCTAACAAGACAAATTCTCACCAATGGCAGTACTTCTAAGGAAGTAGCTTGTTAGATTTGGAATAGCCTGAGAAGGAAAATAGTAGAGCAGCCCTTTTGGAGAAAGCCATTTTCCCAGGGCCAGCCCTGCATCTCTTGAGCTTTGCAATGTTGCTCACCCTCTCTATTTTGTCCTTGACATGATTCCTTTTTAAATAGAAGTTTTATTATTTTGTGTACCTCAACTGATCATGTGAATGAAAAAGTAACTATTGGAAGAGCTGTATACTTGCTTCACAGACGGTCTCTTTCCTTACAACAATACTAGGTGATAGTAACCTGACTGGCCTACCAACCTAATTCAGTGAAACTCATTTGGGAGAAACCAGCTTTAACTGTTTAAAAATCACTACTTCACTCTGTTAATTTAACAAGGATAGGAATGACTGTGCCAAAAAGTTTTCTCCCTTAAAAAAAAAAAATTCACAGAAGTATAAACTTGAAAGGCCAGTAAGCATAAGAAAAGATGTTCAATCTCCTTAGAGACTGCAGAAATATGAGTTAAAACCACAATGATTCCCTGATCTTGATTTCTAATTACTATTGCTCTCTAAAATCTCCTTGGAGAAATGGCTGCTTTCTGGACTGGGCTAGAAAAAATACAAGATTATTGTGAAAAGTCTTCTTATATGGGAAAGTAAGGAAGTACAGGGGGATAAAAGAGGACATTTCAAAGAGATCTATGAGCCAGTGTCTTCATCTGTAAAACATGGATATTAACAGTGACTTCCTTCATAGGATGTGTGCAGAGGATGAAATGACATAATGTTAACACAACATTCAGTAAACACTTGGTGAGCATTCACTTCATTTTGTACACATAAATGTTTGTGATATTATGAAATTTTCTTGCAAGAAAAGAGTATTCAACTATTTTGTCAGAAATTATTTTTTTTAAACAGGAACTGTTCAATTATTTTCTGCTTAAACAGGAACTGGTGGCTCGATATGTGTCATTGATTCCTTTCTTACCTGACACTGTTTCATTTGCTGGCATCTGTGACCTGTGGAGCACATCTGATGTAAGTAGTTCTTTCTCACAGATTTACTAGTTTGAGCTGACTTCATTGAACATTGGCCAAAGGCTTGTATAATTTTAAATTGCAACATTCATTAGTCCTTATAAAATCCATTTGGTCATCTGTTTAGCAGACTGAGCTAAATTCTGCAATATTTTTTCTTTCTGGTTCAGTTTGCCCAAGTTTAGAAATTAAGAAAAAACTATTCGCACCAAAAATGAAAAACATTTCAGAAGTCTTAATACTGATTTACCCTCCCAGTATGACCTTAACAATATCCCAGATTTATTTATTTAAAAAAAAAACTTACATTCGCTATTACATTTTGAACTTGCATATTCCATAGTTTATGGGCTTCTTAAGGCACACCATGTCATTACTGATTCTGCATGTACTTCCTGGTCCACTATTATATATCAGACATTGTACTAAGTTAGGGCTATGAACAAAATAAACATTGCCTATGCCCTCATAGAATTTTCAATCTATGTATGTTACATAACATGCAAATGGATCTTATATGAAGCGAACACATTATCACAGGTATTCATTCTGCTTCTGGATTTCATGTGGTACTGTGTTTGCATAAAATTGAACAATATCCTATGACGCCCTTTGAAAGATATCTTTAAACCAAAGAAATTTAAGTACACTTTAAATTTTTTCATTCCTCAGTATATTTTGATAACATAATGTTGACAGTATTAGAGGTAGCATTTCTACAACCTCAAGACATCTAAAGAAAATACACAAAGAGCAGAATAATTCATGTGCTCCAGACTCAGACAAACTTTACCACTCCCTAGGGATCCCTCACCGCTCCCTGTTTGCACTTCCTCATCTATAAAATCGGAAGATGGGATCCCTGGGTGGCGCAGCGGTTTGGCGCCTGCCTTTGGCCCAGGGCGCGATCCTGGAGACCCGGGATCAAATCCCACATCGGGCTCCCGGTGCATGGAGCCTGCTTCTCCCTCTGCCTATGTCTCTGCCTCTCTCTCTTTCTCTCTCTGTGACTATCATAAATAAATAAAAATTTAAAAAAATTTTTAAATGGGAAGATGAGTACCTCCCTCAAAAGTTTATTCTAGGATTATTCTAGGGGGAGTTAAGGCATGCAATGTGCTTAAAACTATTTGGGAGCAGGGCAGGGGGAGATATAAATAGGCAGAGCACAAATGATTTTTAGGGCAGTGAAATCATTCTGTGATACTCTGATGATGGGTGCATGTCATTACACATTTCTCACAACCCAGAGGAGGTACAACACCAAGAGGGAGCCCTACCATAAGCTGTGGACTCTGGGTGATTATGAAGTGTCAGATGTTGTTCTATCAGTTCGAACAATCATACCACTCTGTGGATAGATATTGATACTGTGTGGGGGCAACAGTAGATGGGAAATCTCTTCCTCCCAAGTATGCTATGAAATGAAAACTGTGCTGTAAAAATAGTCTTTAAAAAATTATTCGACACATGGTGGGCTATCATAAATTCAAAATGAAAAGTGAAACTTTGAAATTTGTCTCCCCCACCCAAAGTGTTGATTCTAGAAATCCTTGTAATCAGTGTCAGAGAAAATACCAATGTTTGTTTGTTCATTTCAATGAATTAGTGAAAGGGACCATAAGGGAAAGGAGGGAAACTGAGTGGGGAAAAATTAGAGAGGAAGACAAACCATGAGAGACTCCTAACTCTGGGAAATAAACAAAGGGTTGCAGCACGGGAGGTGGGTGGGAGGATGGGGTAACTGGGTGATAGGCGCTAAGGAGAGCACGTGATGTGATGAACACCAGGTGTTATACTATATGTTGGCAAGTTGAGTTTAAATTTTAAAAAACAAAAACAAAAAACATAGTGCCAAAATCTGGAAAAAAGATTTTTAAAATAGGTCTTCTACTTTAAGGCACTAATTTTAACAGTGAATTTTTTAAAATCCTGTATGGCCAATCCAAAATGAAGCAGTCAGTCAATACAACATACTTTTTCTTTTCTTTCTGTCAGCAATTTCTGGATCTCCTAGCAGGAGATGAAGAAGAACATGCAGTATTACTATGTAATTATTTTCTCTTTCTGGGAAAGAAGGCCTGGCTCATGATGGGCAATGCTATTCCTGAGGTAAGACCACTCAGGCTGGCTCCAACAAAAGAGAATAGTTGTCTAACATGCTTGTGTTATGTTCCAGATTATGAACTAATTTGCATAACGATCCTTTGAGTTCCAAGGGAAGTGGCCCAGAGATTCCACCAAGGTCAGAGAAAAGCAGTGATGAGACATGAAATGGTTTTTAGTGGTACTCAGACTCTGATCACTGCTTCAGTTGGGGAGCTTTTTTTGGCAAATCTGAACTCTTTGCCACTCAAAGGCCCCACCTGCTCACGTTCCTAAGAATTTTGATCCCTTGGTGATCAAGTGTTACTCATGCTAAAGAGTGAAGGGGATCTGAAGAAATGTGACAAGGTTAGAGATCTCTCCTGTCATGAACTGCCTCTGCTACTAACCAGCAGGCAAAAGGAAACATAGCAGATAACCCCAGAAGCAAAGAAAATAATGTTAGCAGCTATATTTTCATACTATTGTTACTTTTATTAGACTGGAGATGGCAACTATTAGAATGTTTCCCCAGCCCATGCAAATGTCCCTAAATTTGGGGAGAATTAGGATCACTTGTGGTGCGAGTTTACAAAATTCATGAGTTGAAGCAGCTTATTCAAAGACTGTATCAAAAAGAGGACACAAGTTTCCAGGAATCCTGAGGAATTAGGTAGTATCACGTCCAAAAATTAATTCATTCTCCACTGTTATCTTCCAGGGAGCCGAGTACAAGGAAAAGAATACTAGGCTAGGAAGTCACAAGGCCTGAGTTCAAAGGTCTGCCCATTCCTCATGAGCTGTGGGGCTCAAAGCAAGTCAATTCACAACTCTGGGCTTTATAAGGAAATGAGGATAATAAATTTTGTCCTGCCTTCCCCGGAAGGCTATTGTGAGCATCAAAGGAAATCCATGCATGAGCAATAAATGGATAAATGCTCACTATAAAAAAGTAATAATAATAATCCCATAATATAGAAGTATTCAGAATAAAAAGTTAAGGTCCCTCTTCAGGCTCCAACTCTCAAATCTACACACCACCCCGCCCCAGGTGTATTCACTAACAGTTTGGTGTGTATCTTTTCAAAACAACTTCTACACATTTACATTATTATATCTAAACTACTAATTACTGTATTAGAAACAAATAGTATTCAGAGATAATCAGCCTTCTATATACTTTTAAAAAATATTTTATTTATTTATTCATGAGAGACACACACAGAGTGGAAGAAACATAGGCAGAGAGAGAAGCAGGCTCCATGTAGGGGCCTGGATGTGGGACTGGACCCCAGGACTCCAGGATCATGCCCTGGGCCAAAGGCAGACGCTTAACTGCCAAACCACCCAGGCGTCCCAGCCTTCTATGTACCTAACCAACTATCCCTATTTGGTCTACTATACTGTACTAATAAATGCAAACATTTTGCAAAAAGGAACATTTGATTTTAGTTTTTAAATCCAGTGCAACCTAGAACTTCAAGCTAATTTTCATCATTAGCCATAAATTTTAGAAATGAGGGGTCTGACTAAAATAATGAATTGTGTGTGCAAACTGATCTTGACCTCAATTGCATAATTGGAAACTGTTTTAATGACTATTTTCCTTCAGGGTCCAACTGCCTATGTGCTAACTCGGGAGCAAAGTCACTATTTAATATGGAATCCCTGCAGTGGACATTTTTATGGACAATTTGATACATTCTGTCCCTTAAAAAGTGTGGGCTGTTTAATTGGTCCTGATAATGTAAGTATTACCTTTGGATGACTGTTGCTTTCTTTTTTTTTTTAATAGACTACTGATTTAATATTTTATGTATCAAAAAATTATATAAACATACACATAGAACAGTTATAGAAATATAATGTCAAGCACAGTGGCAAGACTGTCTGTCCTAAACTTTCAGTTGAATTAGTCACCGGATTCTGCAGAGAAGCACAATGACGTTAAAGGATATAGAACTCAGATTCAGAGGACCTGAGCTTATGTCCTGGCTCTCTCCTCACTTGTCTCTTCCAAAATAGAGTTTATAAGTACCTAACTCAGGGCTTTTTGAGAAGTAAGTGAGGCAAATTTATCACTTGAGAAGACTGGGTCCCTCCGTCTTCTTCCTCTCTCCCTTCTCCCTTCCTTCCATCTTTCCTTCCTTCCTTTTTTCTTTTCCTTTTCCCTTCCCTTCCCTTTTTATTTTCTTTTTAAAGATTTTATTTATTTATTTATTTATTTATTTATTTATTTATTTATTTATTTATTTATTTATTTGACAGAGACAGAGCACAAGCAAGAGGACTAGCAGAGGGAGAGGGAGAAGCAGGCTCCCCACAGAGCAGGGAGCCTGACGTGGGGCTTGATCCCAGGGTCCCAAAATCATGACCTGAGCCAAAGGCAGACACTCAACTGACTGAACCCCCCCAGGTGCCCCTTCCCTTCCCTATTTATTTACTTGTTTATTTTTTTAAAAGATTTAATTTATTTGAGAGAGAGAGCGTGAATCAGGGGGAGAGGCAGATGGCAAGGGAGAAGCAGGCTCCTTGCTGAAGAGGGAGACCTGATGTGGGACTCCATCCCGGGACTCAGGGATCATGACTTGAGCCGAAGGCAGACACTGAACCAACTGAGCCACCCAGGTGCCCCCCCCCCTTTATAAGAGAGACTCCCAGTACCCACCAGGTAATTGAGGGCAAACTTAATTATGAAGCGTACCATATAGGACAGTAGTTAAAAACATGAGTTATGGGGGCAGACTACCTGAGTTTAAACTTCAACTTCATCATTTAAGAGTTGAATGAGCTTGGGAAAGTTTCTTATGTCATTTAGCCTCAGCTTCTCATTGGTAAATGGAAGGTAATGGGTGCAATGATGTCGAAGAGTGTTGTGAGCCATGAAGCAGATGATCAGTGTAAAGCAGCTAACACACAGGGAAAACTCTGTACTGTTATGATTGTTTTTATCGTCATCACCTGTCTTAATGGTCTGAACTTTATGCATCTGCTAGAATAATCATTTCAGCATGTATCGCCAATGCGTTTTTTTTTATTGAAGTACAATGAACACACAGGGTTATATTAGTTTCAGGTGTACAACTTGATGATTCAACAATTCTACACAGTACTCAGTGCTCATCTCAATAAGTGTGCTCTTGATCCCCTTTATGTGTTTCACCCATCCCTCCACCTACCTCCCCTCCAGCAACCACCAGTTCTCTGTATTTAGGGGTCTGGTTTTTTGTCTTTGTTTTGTTTCTTAAATTCTACATATGTGTGAAGTCATATGGTATTTGTCTTTTTCTGACTTATTTCACTTAGTGTTACATCCTTTAGGTCCATCCATGTTGTCACAAATGGCAAGATCTCATTCTTTTCTATGGCTCAGTAATATTCCATTGTGTGTGTGTGTGTGTGTGTGTGTGTGTGTGTGTGTAATTGCTTTCATTTTCTTTGAGTAAGTATGCAGTAATGGAATCATAGGATCATATGGTAATTCTGTTTTTTAATTTTTTGAGAAAAAACTATTTTCCACCGTGGTTGCACCAGTTTGCATTCCCACCAACAGTGCACAAGGGTTTTTTTTCTCCACATCTTCACTAACACTTGTTGTTTCTTGTGTTTTCTATTTTAGTGATTCTGACAGGTGCAAGGTGAGATGTCATTGGAGTTTTGATTTGCACTTCTCTGATGACTAGTGATACTAGAAATCTTTTCATGTCTGTTGGCCATATGTATGGCCAAAGAAATTTCTGCTCATGTCTTCTGTCCATTTTTTAGTTGGATTAGTTGCCGGCTTTGTTGTTGTTGTTTTGGTTGCATTGTTCTTTATATACTTGGGATGCTAACCCTTTATCGGATATATTGTTTGCAAATATCTTCTGCCATTCCGTAGGTTGTCCTTTATTTTGTTGTGTCCTATGCTGTGTAGACGCTTTTTATTTTGATGTAGTCCATGTGGTTTATTTTGCTTTTGTTTCCCTCGCCTCTTCTAGACATATCTAGAAGAGTGTGAATATAGCCAATGTCAGAGTAATTACTGCCAGTGCTCTCATCCAGGATTTTTATGGTTTCAGGTCTCATATTTAAGTCTTTAATCCATCTTGAATTTTTGTGTACAGTCTAAGAAAGGAGACCAGTTTCATTCTTTTGCATATTTTCCCACCACCCTTTGTTAGAGACCATCTTTGTCCCATTGCATATTCTTGCCTCCTTTTTGAAGATTAATTGACCAAATAAGCATGGGTTTATTTCTGGGCTCTCTATTCTGTTCTGTTGTTCTATTTGTCCATTTTTATGCCAGTACCATACTGCTTTGATTACTACAGATTTGTAGTATATCTTGATATCTGGAATTGTGATACTTTCAGTTTTGTTCTTTTTCAAGATTGCTTTGGCTATTTGGGGTCTTTTGTGGTTCCACACAAATTTTATAATTATGTTTTCTAGTTCTATGAAAAAATGCTATTGGTATTTTGATAAGGATTGCACTAATTCTGTAGATTGCTTTGGGCAGTATGGACATTTTAACAATATTTGTTCTTCTAATCCATGAGCATGGAATATCTTTCCATTTTTTTGTGTCATCTTTAATTTCTTTCATCAGTATTTAATAGTTTTCAGAGTACAGATCTTTCACCTCCTTGGTTTATTCCTAGCTATTTTATTATTTTTGGCACAACTGTACACAAGATTGTTTTTTAATTTCTCTTTCTGCTACTTCATTATTAGTGTATAGGATTGTAACAGATTTCCGTATATTAATTTTGTATCCTGCAACTGAATTATCAGTTCTTGGAGTATTTTGCTGGAATCTTTAGGGTTTTCTTTATATAGTATCATGTCATCTGCAAATAGTGAACGTTTTACTTCTTCCTTACCAATTTGAATGCCTTTTCTTTTTCTTCTGATTGCTGTAGCTAGGACTTCCAGTACCATGTTGAATAAAAGTGATGAGAGTGAACATTCCTGTCTTGTTCCCGATCTTAGAGGAAAAGTTCTGTGTTTCCCCCACTGAGTTTGATGTTAGCTGTGGGTTTATCATCACACATGGCTTTTATTATGTTGAAGTATGTTCCCTCTAAAGCTACTTTGTTGAGAGTTTTATCGTGAATGGATGTTGTACTTTACCAAATGCTTTTTCTTCATCTGTTGAGGTAATCATATGGTTATCTTTTTTCTTATTAATGTGATGTATGACATTGATTAACTTGGAAATATTGAACCACCCTGTATCCCTGGAGTAAATGCCATTCAATCATGAATGATTTTTTAAAATATTTATTTATTAATTCATGAGAGAGAGAGAAAGGCAGAGACACAGGCAGAGGGAGAAGCAGGCTCCCCACATGGAGCCCAATGCAGGACTTGATCTCGGATCCCGGGATCACACCCTGAGCCAAAGGCAGAAGCTCAACCACTGAGCCACCCAGGCGTCCCTCATGAATGATTTTTAAAAAATATATTGTTGATTTGGTTTGCTAAGATTTTGTGGAGGATTTTTGCATCTATGTTCATCAGAGATATTGGCCTATAGTTTTCTTTTTTGTAGGGTCTTTGGTTTTGGTGTCAGGGTACTGCTAACTTCATATAATGAATTTGGAAGCTTTCATCCCAAATCTATCATTTGGAATAGTTTAAATAGTTATTAACTCTTCTTTAAATGTTTGGTAGAATTCACCTGTGAAGCCATCTGGTCCTGAAATTTTGTTAGTTTTTTTTAATTACTGATTCAGTTTCATTGCTAGTAATTTGTTCAAATTTTCTATTTCTTCCTGATTCAGTTTTAAGTTACATGTTTTTAGGAATTTATCCATTTCTTCTAGGTTGTCCAGTTTGTTGTTATATATAATTTTTCATAATATTCTCTTAAAATCAGGGATGCCCGGGTGGCTCAGTGGTTGAGCATCTGCCTTCAGCCCAGGGCATGATCCTGGAGACCCGGGATCAAGTCCCACATCAGGCTTCCTGCATGGAGCCTGCTTCTCCGTTTGTCTCTGCCTCTCTGTCTCTCATGAATAAGTAAAAAAAATCTTTTTTTTAAAAAAAGTCCCCTACTATTATTATATTACTGTCATTTTTTCCCTTTATGTCTTTTACTAGTTGCTTTATGTTTTAAGGTACTCCTATCTTGGGTGCATAGATATTTACAATTTTTGACCATCTTCTTGGATATCCCCCTTTTCGTTATGTAGTATTCTTCTGTGTCTCTTGTTATAGTCTTTGCTTTAAATTCTATTTTCTCCAATATAAGTTTTTTTTAAAGATTTTATTTATTTATTCATGAGAGACACAGAGAGAAACAGAGAGGCAGAGACACAGGCAGAGGGAGAAGCAGGCTCCATGCAGGGAGCCTGATGTGGGACTCGATTCTGGAATTCCAGGATCACACCCTGGGCTGAAGGCAGTGCTAAACCGCTGAGCCACCCAGGCTGCCCCAATATAAGTATATTTTTTAGATGTTATTTATTCATGAGGGACACACAGAGAGAGAGGCAGAGACTTAGGCAGAGGGAGAAGCAGGCTCCCTGTAGGGATCCTGATGTGGGACTCGATCCCAGGTCCCTGGATTATGACCTGAACCAAAGGCAGATGTTCAACCACTGAGCCACCCAGGTGCCCCTCCAATATAAGTATTGCTACCCCAGTTTTGTCTTGCTTCTACTTGTATGGTAAGTGTTTTCCATACCTTTACTTTTAATCTTCATTGATCTGTCAGAAAACAAATCACTTGACCATGCATCCCCAATATATGTATTTCTG